AAAAAAAAAAAAAAAAGCAAGAGCAAGCAGGCACCAGGCAGGCAACTCACTGGCAATTGAGTTCTGGTGTTTCTCTGTCCTCGAAGTTACGCAGTGCCAGGCATACAAGCTGCTCTGCACTCTGCAGACACTATACAGAAGACAGAGACTACTCTACAGATCAGCACCTTCAAGAGGCAGAGAGGTATGGGCCAAAAGGGGTGATCTTAGTGAGCACAGGCATTTTCTTTCAAACTGCCAATAGCTGTCTAATCTGGCATGGACTGTATTAAGTAAYTCAGCAACACCAGGTTTCTCAGTTCATTCATGGCAGCCACGGCAAATGGAGAACTGCTCARGTGAACACACACTTCACTAGAGGAAGTCATAGCTGTAACTCACAGAATAGCTACTACCTACACCTCTGGAAAGATACACACCCCAGCCAAGAAAGAACTAAGGCTTTCTCCATCCGTTCTTTGAGATGGGAGAAGAGTAGAAATAATCTGGCTTCCATCAGAGATTATTTTACAGCATCCATCCTTACAAGAGAGCAGGAAGAGTGTAACAGGCTACYTGGATGAAATTCTGGATTCTCCTGCATCACCATCTGCTCAGCAGGTGTGCAATGTTTTACCTCACTTAGGAATGATCATATAGGTTAAAAAACCGCATAAATAAAATTTTAAAAATCCCATGGTTTTGGGATGAYGATAGTGGAAAAGGGCAGGATGTTGCACAAAAGTCACAGAACAAGCTTTTCCATACATTACATCCCAAAACAGGGATCACTGATGCTGGTTCCAGCAAAAAGCATTAAAGCTCATGTTGCTCCTTTCACAGGTACCTGCYGGTGGAGGGAAGTAAAAAAAATAAATAAATAAAAAGATCATCCTATTCAGTGACAGGAGAAGCCAATAAAGATAGCAGCTTCTTTCTGTAATGGAAATAAAAAGTCAATTTGGGACAAGCTAATTTTTTTTCAGTTTGCCAATTCAAAGCCCTCCTGTGAGTTGTCCTCTCCAAGAGTACTTGTGGGGCTACAACACTGCTGGCAACTTCCCCTGAGCAGGAGATCCCTGYCTTCTGTTAAGCAGGCTGGTGAGGAGCCATCATTACTGCAGTGAAATCAGTCAGATAGGATCTTGTACCAGTGAGGGAAGTGAATGTGACCCTAATAGCTTAGAGCTAATAGTCAGTTGTGATGTAACTACAGCATTTAACTATTCTGCAAAAACAGATCATAATGTCCACTCAGCTCTTCAGRGATAAGAGCCCACCCCTGCCAAAAGCTCAGTACAGCTGGTACTTTCAGGGGCAGTTTCCTCAGAAGCCTAGAAAAGGCAATGCCTGGAATATGCCTCTCTGGGCCCTGGGCAAATCTTCCTGCACATTTGGTCTGAGGTACATAAGGAGCTGTACAAGGAAGAGAGCTTCCCTGCACAAATGTATTAAACATCATTACTAAATCCCAAGGGAAACTGAAACACCAGGGAACAGATTCTTCTTGTTAATTGCAAAGTACTTGTCATGTGACTCAGCCTGCAGATTGTGACCAGCATGAGGGGTTTTGTTTTTGCTGCTTTTGAAAGAAGAGCTTGTTTAATGCTACAACAGCATTCAAAGCAGCTCTGGAACCAGAGAGCATTCCTATCTGCTCAACATAGCTTGGAAAAACTTCTGTGCCTGTTTCTAAAACAGAGGCTCCAACTCACGTGCACTGATGCAGAATGTTAATGAAAAATCTGCTGTGGCTTAGAGGAACTGGTCAGTCAGAGGAAGAGAGAAAAATCTAAGGGTCATTCTTTCTACTCTATGTGGAGCTTAAGACCTTAAAATGCCCCATGCTGGAAATTCAGGTCAAACTGTTTACATGGTGCCTGCTCTGGCTGCTGCCTCTTGGAAGGGTTGTGGGACCCACAATGGCCATTCAGGCTGGAGTAGTTCCCCCTCCTAATGCAAATCAGGAAAGGGAATAAGCACAATTTGAATTAAAGTTTTATAAAATGTCTCCTCAGACACTGTCTGCAGCTGACAGCCAGCTTCTACCATCCGTTGAATCTTACAAATGTGAAGCCCAGCACTGCAGAAAAAAGAGTTTAAGCAACTGGGAACAACTGTTCCCTCAAGGACACATTCAGTTTGAGCCCTCTTTTCATATGTCACAAGTTGACTTTGTGCTGCCAGTCGCTGAGATGTTGGGGGAGGTCTGAGACAACAGAGCAGGACTGTCCCCATCCTGCTCCCTGAAGGGCCATGCCTCTCTCTTCAGCTCAGTGGAAGGACTAACACTGAACAGAGGCTTTGTAGACTCTAATAGAGTAATTTTCAGAAGATCATCTTCTACCTCCATCTCTTCAGAAGGGAGACAACCTGCAAACACTTGTGGGGAGTCATGTCCTTCAGAGTTCACTGAATTCTCARCTGTGAGGTTTTTGTAAGATAGTGGTCCAGACTGGGCCAGCACTAATGGYTGATCACATGCCAAATCTCCACACGTGGTCTCAACAGGGCAAAASCCATTTTCCTCCTGGACCATTGGCCCATCTGAACAGTCCATATCCTCTTCTTGTCCTGGTGCAAGAAGAAACTCTGGTCTGTGAGGCTTGGCGTGAAAGGGGGGTATCTCTGACACACCATATTTAGTGCTACTCAAGAGTTTYTGCCGAACTTCTGCACCTAACTGGGCTGGGTCACACCTGCCAACAGTTGAAGACAGTCCCCCAAATAGGCCATATTCCTTGTGCGGTAATTCAGGGGAGACTGGAAGTGATCTGCATCTCCTCCCAGGAAGAAGGGAAGGTTCTTGCCAGTCTGTGCTATATGCCTGCCGGAACTGGGACTGGCTGGCTTTCAGGCCTCCACCTGYCTCTGGAGAATGCAAGTCAAACACGAGGGAAATCACAGACTTGCTTGGCATGTCAAAGAATTTGATCTTTCCCCCCTTGAGGTCCTCCCGGGCACTGAAGGGATTAACTTTCCGGCCCAAGCCTTTGCTTGGTGTGTAGTAGGGGTCCTGCACATTTATTTTCCTGGAAGGCTTGCGGGAGAAGATATCCGACTGGCTGCGGGACAACCAGATATTCCGACGTGGACGGGGTGACTTGGGTGGGATCTTATCATCCAAGGAACTCAAACGTTTTACTCCTGGTCCTTTGTCAATTGCTCCTGAGTAGAAAAAGAAAAATACTCTTAGCTTAAAGAAGCTCAGTATAGCTGTGTATCTGCTCRCTCTCAGAGCCTTTATGACAACTGTAAAAAAAAGCTGCATTTTTAAYATTCCAAACAATGTTCCATAAGCACACGTCTGCTCCTTCCTTTTAAGTTCCTGCACAAACACAAGTACACTATTCTCTTTCCCTCAGTGTATTTTAGAGCCCCTTCAAACCTCCTTGATGCCAGTACACTGCCACAGCAGAGATGGCAAAGGGTGGTGATGGAGAAGAACAATCTGCATGTTTTCAGATTTATCATCCTGGCTTCCAGCAGAGGTTGCCCAAGGTCTGTTGGTGCTACTGACCACAAAAAAGAACCAGAACTTAACATAGTTAACTGGGACCTTTTCACCCCAATGGGAAATGTCCAAAACCAAAATACATAGCCCTGCTTGTACCATGCAGATTTTAAATCATTCCATCCCAGCCTTCAGTACATTATCCAATACAAAACTAAGGATATAAGAGAGTCTGACTCCAATGAATATGAGTTTAAAAGTTGTACATATGCCTGTGTATTTGCACCCACTGCACACACATACACACACACATTTATAAATAAAAGCTATATCACTAGAATGGGATAAGAAAATGGTAGATGTTAACTCCTTGAGTGTTTGGAACATGCATCTGACACGGGCTCTCAAGAAGCCTCTGAAGAGCCATGTTAGAGCAATAATGAATGAGTATAAACTAGTGATACCTTCTTTTGATTACCATTTTCAGAATAAGTGCCTATGAATTTTCACTCTTCTCTTTTTAATACTTTTAATGTTACTTCTCTTTTAATGTTCAGACTACAGTCATTCCATGTAGGAAAGACTACACAAATCAAAGAACAGCATGTAACACTTCTTTGAGAAGTACTTGTTTTGTACATTTACTCCAAAGGGAGAATACCAGTAAAATTAAAAGAAAAAAAATCCCAAGCCCCAAACCAAAAAACCCAACTCAGACAAAAAACCCTAAACAAACAAACTCACACTTCTTTTAGATGCTTTCCAAGTGTGGGAGAACTACTACATGCATTAACTCTATGTGGTTTGAAGTAGAGAATAATTATTTCAATCTACGACTATATTACAGATCAATAGGTATATCCATATGTTGCATATTTGTATATCCACATCACATGAGAAGCTATTTTTAGYACTCTCAAGTTTCTAATGCCAGAAKTGTACTAACACCAAACACCCAAGTGTGAATAAGTCAGAATACGGCCCAGGCTACAAGAATTTCCCCACACCAGGTGGCACCAGACAGCTTTAGAGAAAACCTTTCAAGGCCAACATTCCCAAGCAGACCTGGGACTCATCTTTTCTCGTCTTTCAGAGTATTTCTAGGTACTTTATAATACTCTTGCATCTTCTGTGCTCTTCCTCCTGAAGAAATTTAAGAAGCCTCTAAAAGTTACAYGTAACATACATAAAAGAAATTACGTATATGTACTAAGTATGGCAGCAATAAATAAAAAGTTGATGGATTTTCATATACTATTTAGCAATTTACAAAACCATTCCCAAATGAACTCTAAATTTCCTTTCAAGGGCTTATCAGTACTTTAAGAAATAGCTGCTTTTTTAAAAAAGGATACTCTGCAACGCAAAGTACATAGCATTGCTTCAGARTAATTTTCAAGATTTGTGTAAAATGGTTCATAAGCTATAAATTATATCATATACAGCCGAAATACCAGTTTTCAAAATAGGAAGCTTTGTCTCCTCTTGCTATGAGCATGCAGCAATGTTTGTACAATACAGCCACCTACCTTTTGGTTTTCTTTCACTGTTGTCTAGGTTCAAGAACTTTCTGTCTCTCTCTGAGTCCTCATTTCTCAGGCGGTTTAACATTTCCTCCAGTGTTTTGACAATATCAGCAAAAGAAGGACGCAACTTTGGATCCATCTGTAAATGCACACAAATCAAATAAGTTCATATGGGTTTGGTCCATGCTATTCTCCTTACACAGTGGACAAACAGGGGGACAATCTGAGGAAACTGAGGAAATTCTAAATGGTTTTAAGAGTGTTGTCATTGCAAAAAATCTCTGTAAAGAAGGGGGAAAGMGGTATTCCATCTATTATACCTCTCATTCAATTATCAATTTGTAAATACTCTATGAAGAGGATAAATTTTAAATTGGAAAAGTGGGAAACTGTCAGATTCATAGCTTGTGAGGGGGGGTTGGTTTGCTTGAAACAGCTTGCATAGTTCAGGATTTCTTTCTGGACTCCGGTTATCAAAGAGAGATTATGCACCAATGTATTTCAAAAGGATTACACAAAACAACACCACTATGTCAATCTTTTTTAAAAGACTGTAATTCTTCCATCATCTCCTTGTGGCTTTAATTAAAACACACCTAAATGGCACTGCTGATTGTAAAGCCGAAAATGTTGTGGTTTTCCATCTGTTWATTAGCCATACTATCCAGTGTACTGGCATATCTTGTAAAGAAGCAAGGGTGGTTATATAATTTGACAAAGTTATAAATTAGGAAAAAGAAAAATTCACCTTTTCCAGGTAAAGTATTCCCCCTGCTCATCAATCTGCATTAGTCTGTATTTCTCAGTATGTATTTATTTATCCACTCTAGCAGATATGGATCTCTAAACAAAGTCCAACACTAAATTGTACCACAGGGCAAGCAGCTTCATTTAAGCAGTAACTTTGAAGGCATTTCATCATTTTGAGCATTGACCCTGTATATATATTACAGGCTACACTATTGCAGGTAGCAACATCTAATTCAGCAGCCGAAAGTTAACTTCATTACAGTAATAAAAAAGACTCTGCTTGACCTGATTGCTGTTTTCAGCCTTCTAAAGGCTTTTGMAGAGTGGACAAGCCCAGACAAATCTCACCTCTACAATGGGAACAGTAGTGCTTTGTACACAACAAACCCCAAAAGACCCCCCTGATACTGCCCTGCAGGTTCTTTGAGATGGATCTTTCTGAAGAGAACTGGTATGATCAGCAATGCCAGAACACCTTCTAGCAACAAAGGGTAAAGGGCTAAAAATTCATATRTACAGTAATAAAAACCAAACAAAGGAACCACACTTGAAGAGCTCAAGAATAGCAAGAAAATTCTTCTAAAGCAGCAGCTGGAATTTCCTGGCATTGGAAAACATATTTTTCTGCATTCCCTATTTCACTGAAAGAGTAGGGCAGGGGCAACACTGAAGCACATACTGTACTCTGACAAACTTACTAATTTGGGAAGCTTAGGGAGCTGTTGCAAGCTACAGGAAGTTAGAGGAAATAAAAAGAGATCTCTGGCTATTTTAATTTGTGCTAGGTATGATCCAAGACTAGAGCAGCAATGGAAAAGCTACTCACAGCAGTATTTACCTCCTCCATCCCTAAGCAGTCCAGATTCTGCTCAAATGGAAGAGAAGATTCCTTCTCAAAGCAGCAGTTGCCCATGGCCCTGCTTATCCAGGAAAGCTTTTTGCATGATCATTTATGATTACATTTACTAAACATTCCCACAAGTAGGCTTCCTCACAGGAGCCTTCCTTGCAGGTGCTTATTTACAACCCCCCACACTTTTTAACAGTAAATTAAATTTTAATCCACTATTCATACATGCCAGTTTTTACAGGTTTTCTTAGAGTGCCTTAAAACACATTTCCTGGCTGTAGAAAATCCCAGGGCTTTGCACATTAGTTCAGGTGGGCTATTACAGTTCACACTTTGTTGACCTATTGAATAACAAAAAGCTATATAAGCATCCATGTCTCACAGCAAATTACCACAACYATCACCCCTTACTGAAGCACAGCATGCGCAGGAAGATATAAGAAAGCCTTATCAGTTTACCCCCTTTTTCCTTCTCCTAGGTGAGTGGTATGTGAATTCCAKCATGACCCACACTGAAATCAGCATATTAATGGCTGGATCACAAGACAGTAATTTCCATTTCAATTAAGCAAAGGGACATTTACTATACAGGAAGCTGCATTTGACAATAATGAGTAGGAGAAAACCTTTTTTCTCTGAACACATGAAATTCTCACATGAAAATATAAGGTCACTGCCCCTTCSTCCATGAGCGGTTTTACTCTCAATTTCTGAGCTGAAAAATTGCTTTGAATCATGCACCACGTGTATGGATGCAGTACCATTTCTGGAGTCTGCAGGTGGGAGCTGAGATTTCCAAAGTCAAATCCTATCTCTAACCAAACCTTTTAGTGTTCATGTAATCAAAACATTTCATAAACATGAGTCAGATGTACCACTGTCCATCTGAAGCAAGCTCTGCTGTACTAAGTGAAATAAGAGGAGTTAAGTAGCTTGTTCACAGTAAGTTCCACAAACACTTTAGAATTAAATTATGCTATGTGGTGTCAAGAGCAGCAGTCAGTCATCCCCTCCATTCTCACCTTTATACCACTCTCTCCTTGAGCACTGACATTTGTACTAATATACAGAGAGAGGTCAGGTCAAAAATAACCAYCAAAAGTACAAAGAGACAAGACTTCTTAAAAGCACTCACTTGGACACAGTGCTGGCATCAGTTCCAGCACAGCCTGGATGGAAAATTTTTAAAAGTTGCCTCTACTTAAGCTGAACAAACTGGACATTCCCAACTTCAGCTGAATGTTGTGAAAGCTCRGGTTCTCTTATTTCATATAAACTGGTTTACTATACAATGGTACTAGTAACTCTGTTACACAATAACCAGCAGAAGAGATCTACTGCCCTGAAATTTTCACAATAAGGAGCCAGGAAGGTATCCAGCATTATCACAATTTTACTTGAAAAATTGCCATAAAATTTTCTCCATACAGCACATGGCCTATAGCCTTACAGGTATTGCACCATTTTGGTCCAAGTTTGAATTTTATGACACAGGCTAAGGATTTGGATGTCAAACCCCTTTTTCAAAAGGCTTCCTATAGACATTTTAGAGTAGTTTAATGCCTGATTTTGATTTGTTTGTCCCCTGYTTGTGAGGGCAACTCAGTCCTTCCTTCATAGCTCAGTAGGTCTGTACACAACAGCTGGATTTTGCAGCCCAAGGGTTAGCCAGTGTCAATGGCATCCAACTGGTTAGGATCAGCCTGAGCAGCCTGCAAGAAGCTGTTCAGTGTGCCAGACCTGTTTGTTTGGCATGACAGAACACAGAATTGCAAAAACACAGGACAGACCTTCTTGCAGGGGGAAGGGAAGGATTTTAAAAACTGAAAGGGACTTCCTGGGTGGTCAGAAGGTACACTGCTTCTGTAGGTAGGCTCTTCAAGTCTCTTCTGTAAATGCTTTAAGCTTTATCTTCAAAAGCCAGAAGGATTTAGAGAACTCAAACTCCAGTTTAAGCCTCTCCCCTTCAAGTAAGRTACTCACGTTACAGCAGTTGAAGGCCAGCTGGAGGAAGTCAGGAGGACAGTCTCCCACCATGTGCTGGAAGGAATCATAATCTAATCCAAAATTCTGTACAAATGACAACAAAGCATAGAGAAATGAATGAGGTCTGTTATCTCGCTCAAAGCATGTTCTTTTCTGGAGGTCTCTATGTGAAGTTATCAGGAAGAACCATGAACACCTCAGCAACCACATAACAGGAGTTTGAGAAAACTTTATGTACATTCCAACCTGCAGCATTCCCAGTGGGGATTACAGATACAGGATATCTATAAGAGAATGGGCTGACATCAAAGCCCATCCTTCTTCCTGAATTCAAATGCAATCCATCGCACKTGAAATGTTGCCCATGTGGGTTTGGAAACAATACCTTATACTATGATGTTTCACCATAGTGACTTTGATGGTGCAAATTAACAGCCTGCTGTAAAACCACAGGCTTTGCTGTGATGGAAATGTATCAGTTAAAATGGCTAACTTTTCAGTGGATGGTAGATTGCTAATACAAATTATCCAGTTCCTTAAGTGCATGTCTATGAAATCTGAAGGGCAGACTAAAAAAGATCTTTTATTTATTGCAGTTCAAGACCTAAACAATTTTCCATTTTCAGAAATGGAGTGAGATAAACAATTTGGTATAACTCCCACAAAAGGTCAAAAGCAGCCCTACAGATGGGATGAATAAAGTAAAAAGTATCTTTAATTATTAGTCAATTATAGCTTAGATCCACAGTGCTTTGCAGAGTCCACACAAAAATAAGGGTGAACTTATTTTAGCTGCTGTTAACACAGCTCCTGCCCCTTTCCCAAGGTGAAGCTGTTTAGTGCATGCCGTGCACCAAAAGTGCCTTGTTCTGAACCTGGCAAGAAATCTACATCAGCTATCACTCCACAAAAGGAAGAGTTTGCATTGCAGCRCTCTCGATATCCTGCCAGTTAGGGRGAGAAAGGATTCCCAGGACCGTTGTAGCTGCACAAGTCTCTGAGAAAGTATCTTCAATGGAGCTTCCTACAATAACAGCATAAAGAGYAAAAGCCTTTTACAGGCTATTTTTAATGTCACACCTATTCATCCTATCTTTGACAGCAGTGGCTGAAGTTCTAAAGGCYGAGCCGTTATCATGGCAGACTCACCACCTCCCACCAATGTTAYAAACACAACCACTTACCTCTGTGCGAGGGAGATAGTCTGGGTCTGCCTGTATTCTTGCTATAATCTCACAYAGAATTATGCCATAGGAGAACACATCTGCCTGAGAGAAAAAAAAAATAATAGACACATGGTTCAGCTATGAATACTCAGTGCTCTTATCTGCCACTGAGTTTCTCCTTACCCCAAATGGCTATCATGAAACAACTAAACAACACCACAGCCTTGCAACACTGAGCAACTGCATTAGACCTAACATTTCCCATGTGAAGAMAGCCTCACAGAAAGCATTCTTGTTGCACAAATAGCAACGATAACTTTAAAACTCTTTTAAGAAAAAAAGAAAACCAAAGCACTCTTAATTCAGCAGTGTAAAAATTAAAAAATAAAAAAAGCTTCCTTGCACTAAGAATGGTGAAGTTACATTTGATGTCCTACACATAGGCATAATGAAAAACAGAGCTAAAACATTAAATGCCTATGTATCACTGTGGTTAGAAAAACAGGTTTAGAATAAACATGATCAAAGCCTAGCCAGAGCATTAATGTTCTTCTTAATAAAAATTAAATTTTTCTCTTCTCCATTCAGTAGCTTTGAAGAAAGATGTCTTCCCAAAGCTTGAGATAGTAGCAGCACTGTGTATCAGTGCTCAATTTCCATAATGTTTAGTAACCACTTATCTGACTACCCCAGGAGCTTCATGGCTCCTCAGATTTCCACCTACTTGAATTTTTCAGGTAATAAAATTTAGGAAAACATGGAATACAAGTCTACAGGGTTGAAGTGTGAATCTCTCATCCCTTATGCAACTAACTGCATTTATATAATGTACCTACCTTTTCATTATAGGGCTCATCTCTGAGAACTTCTGGTGCCATCCAGAAGGGTGAACCCACAACTGGTAACTTCTCACTATACAGATAYGGGATAAATATGGAGGGGAGGTGATGGGAGAGAAGGAAGAACTATTAATGCTCAAGCATTGCTACTAAATTTCCCAATCAATTACTTCAATCAATTACTCATATTTTATTTCCAGCTTTTAAGTACCCAGCCACTTTAAAAGAATGTTTTATTTTAAAGTTACAGCTGTTCAATWGTTTTTATTTCTTAACTCTTGGCAGAGTCTGTTCCTTCATCTATACATAAAAAGGTGGATATCAGTTTTGGGCTAGATGCCAAGTTCTCCATTCATCCTGTGAGACATACAGGTATCCATCCCTATGTGTATATACAGCTCTGAATGAAGTCAAACTGCATTTAAAACAATAAAGTTCTGTAAACTGCATTAAAAAATGAACCCTAAAAACCAAAATTGACCAGATGAATTCTTCAATGTGGAAAAAWTARAAGTMATCAGAATAGASCCAATTTGAAAAACCTGCRGTTTCCATAAGGCTGAATACTGGGYYYTCTSTSWC